TAACACGGTTTATACTGCCTGACGAAGGGCTTCTGCCCGAAACGTTCCAGGTAATAATTTAAAAAAAATTGTTATAGACGTGTGTTTTAACAATTTTTTCATTATTTTTCTACATCTTCCGATCTTTGCTATTGTGTGTTATTGCTTAATGCCGACCACCCAATACTAACAGCTATTTTTAATAATAAAAACTATATTATAACTATTTCGAGTAATAGGTATCAAAATTTTCTCTTTTTTTTTTACATAAAACGGCATTTTATAAGTATAGGTATCATAGTTTATGTTTTTTACCATAACGATTTTTAAATAAATGCACCCTCACGTTGACTTAGGTCTCAGCGGCAAGCTTGAGGAAGTGGGGTGCTAAAAATCGGAGCTCGGTCCCTTCGATGGGCATAGCGCAGATAGCCCATTATGAAGTTTTGTGCTTAAACAAACAAATAAATAAGTAAGTATTTTACCAGGTGGCGAAGCCGAGTAGATATTCGTCAGCTTCGAAAGAAACTGCTTAGTCCTGGATTTTGTGAGTTAATTGAGACTTTTTTTGTCATTTAAGTTTCAACTTAAGCGTGTAATTATTCATTTGAAAATCAGAGTAGCTAATAATATTTTAACACATTTTTACGTTAATTAGGAATTGTAAGCATTAATTAATGTGTCAAATGTTTTTTGTGTTTTGTTTTATTATCAGTAACACGTTGAGAAATATAGGCCTACACTACAGTCTATACTACAGTACTGTACAGACTTAACTGATGCCGATGGCAGGATCTTGAGCAAGTTGTGGAAGTTATACTGAAATATTAAAAATACCTGTGGTTAACTGATATTGTAATGTCATACGTAACTCACATAGGAAGTTCTAGTCATTTGCACGAACTTGTGTATTTGCAGCATATAAATTATAATGCAAAGGAATTAATTAATTATTAATCATGTGCTTGAATGGTACCACTCCAGATAATCAGATCAGAAATTCACTAGTTTAACTAAGTAGTAGTTATTTGTGACTTGTAGCACTACGAATGCTTTAATATTGTTAACGTAGTTTAAAAATAAAAGTATTAGAAATTGATATTCATACACAAAATAAGTTAGGTTTTATGGGTAAAAATAGCATAGTTGTATTTAAAAAAATATTAAATGTCTATTGAATAATGATGCTCTCGTAGTTGATGACTGGCATTGATAGAGTGAGTGGAGAAGAGAAATTTGATTGGTTTCTTTATTTTCTGTAGTGCCTACCTGTACCATTATATAAACTGAAAATAATAATAAAATACATTCAACCAGTCTTTAGAATATCTCTTAATCTTGCAATAAAAATTAACCTACTGTTTATAAATTTCACTTTAAAATACTGTGCAATATGTAGAAATTCAGTATAAATATTTTGTTAACAAACTTGAAAATACACTTCATAATTTGTGTCAATGACAAAATACTATGACTAGACTCATTATTTAAATTCAGCTGATAGAACTTTCACTTTCAGTGTTTTGTATTGTTTTGCAGCATTGTTAGTTCTATTAAAGAAGCAGTTCTAGGTTCTTAAACATTGTTTAGTGTGATGGGACCCCTATTTAAAGGCAAGTATTGTGTTACATATAGTATGTATTTAAATATAAGAAATACAGTCAGTGGCAATATCACACAGATCACCAATTTGAGGAAGGTTTACATGAAACAAGGAATAGAGACTGATACATTTAAATCAGTGAAATCACATATAATTCATTACAAATTTTTTTAATATAATTATAATCTCTTGATTACAGTATAGATTTATTTTATAAAACATTTGTTAGAAACAACTCAATAATGAATTACAATCTTGTTAACCAAGCAAAACTATTTTAAAACTTATAAGTTTATAAAGAAAGTAAAATTTTGACAAGAATGAAGAAGAAGAGACTTGTTAAATTGATGAATGAAACAACTAGGCTCTGCTTGGCTTCAGGCAACACTTTGACTCAAACTGTGATTAGCTCTCACACCTCAAGCTCCCACTTTCTAGTGAAGGGCTCTGACAGAAACTTTTAAATTTATTTCTTTTATCTTGTTTTTGGTTCAGATTTTGTCCTGATTTGTTGTGACTGAAATAAATTGTCACCTTATTGGATCAGAATCAAGATAGAGTTGATTCTTATTGGCCATTGTATTCTACATCAAAAACTGGGGACAGCTGTTAATTGGTTGACACTGTTAAGGTCCTGAGTAGTGTGTGCGTATATTGTCTATATCACATCTTTCCCATTGATGAAATCACACACACGATAAAACCTTAACTCTTTCAACAATTTTTTGAGATAAAAGAAATAGATTTAAACGTTTCTGTCAGAGCCCTTCACTAGAAAATGGGAGCTTGAGGTGTGAGAGCTAATCACAGTTTGAGTCAGAATGGTGAAATGGAGTGTAAAGTGTGAAAATATGTTTAAAATATAAAACATATAATATTGGTAAGATATTTTTCTAATCTTGTCTTCAACTTTCTTATTGGTTTTTTGTGTTCCAGGACTTGTAAAATGTTCCACACTCATTTGAAACGTACTATTTGGATATAGTACAATAGTACTTATATTACAATAGATATATAAATAGCAGATATGGATACCATATTAGAGAGGCTGGAAAAAAACAGCTGTGTTAATCTAGTGAATTAAAGTCAAAGAAGTCTTCCAAAAATAACAGAATTTAAGTATTCTGACTTTGAATATTAGATAATATTTTACTGTTGTGACATGAATACTTGATTTTATGTGTGTATTTTTGTCTAATGAAAGTGTTTTGTTGGTGTTATTTATTTCAGTTGCCGTACGGCTTTACTCGACAATCCAGATCCCAACATCTAACCATACTTTTACCGAAAAAAAGTTTATTTTTTCACCAGCTAGATGATTTTTCTACAGACTGAATTCATTTCATGTACTTTGGGATATGTTTCTTAATAGTCATGACATTATTGATGGGATTGGAAATGAAGTCATAGTAGTTTTTGCACTGGTGAACATTTTTGTCTTAATCCTAGCCTTCTTTTCGTACGCGTGGCTGAGAAACAACATGAATTCGGATAATTCACAACAGCTGATTCACCGTTCTGCTGCTCCTGATTCACGGGTTGGTAATGAAACCACCAATACCCCAGAGGTGGACGTAAGAGATCCAAGCATTTTAGGTCATCAGTGTCCTGTGTGCCTTAACGAAGTCACTTACCCCATAGAAACTAACTGTGGCCATATTTTCTGTTCTCAATGTATGATTGAGTATTGGAGACATGGAAACTGGCCACAAGCAGTGTTATGCCCTCTTTGTCGACAGCAAGTATCTGTTTTACTGCGCTGTTTTAGCAGTAGCCCAGAAGGATCCAGCCAGAGAGAAACTGTCAACCAGATTAATTATGAAATTAATGAATATAACAGAAGGTTTGCATCCGGTCCAATTCCTTGGATTCAGTATATACTGGACCTACCGATCTTACTTCGTCACGTGGTGTCTGACCTGTTTTCGTTTGAAGGGATGATAAACATGATGAGATTCAGAATTCTTATGTGCATTATTATTGGTGTCATATATGTTGTGTCACCTCTTGATATCATACCAGAAGCTATATTTGGATTATTTGGATTTATAGATGATGTTCTTATAATCCTCTTAATATCTATATACATAACGCTTATTTACAGGGCATTTCTTTCAAGAATGTGGGAAAACGCATGATTTATTCATCAGGGTTGCATTAATAAAATACAATTCTCTATAAGGCATTTCTTATTTGTGAGAATATACATGACTTATCCTATCTCAGTGTTCCCTTAAGTATGTAGATTCATTGCATCGTAAAATTATGCTGTCTGTGTTTCTTTTAGTTAGACTGTATTATTACTTTAAGTAAAACAGAAACATCAGACTTGGTGGTCAAAGTAATGTTTTTACTGTTGAACTTGTCAGTTATATTTGCTACTAATTGCATTAGGAAAATTAAAAGACCTTACTTTTATAACTGTTATAATGTCTTTGTGTCTCCTGAAGAATTATAGAGTACCTGAATCTAATGTGGAATAATTAAAGACATTAATTAATTTGTCATTACGTGAACTATGTGTGGTCTCTATACGTACTTCACACCTATAGTACCTTTGTATGTAGTAGTTTTTGATCCCGTTTTTCCTTCTTCAATTGACTAAAATAGCACAAAATTTGTCAGATCACAGTGATTTTACAAACAAGATTTTTTCAAGACTAGTACTTTCCATGCAACCTTTCAATTCAGGGTTGATTTTAACTCATTCCGTCAGAAAATAAAACCTTCAGTCTGAACATTTAATGTAGTGGTTCAACCAAAACTCTTAAGTCTTGGATTTTAGTGTACTGACTCAACCAAAAAAAACCTTCAGTCTGAAGATTTAATGTACTGATTCAACCAAAAAATTCTCCAGTCTGAGGATTTGATATACTGACTCAACCAAAAATACACGAGCCTGAGGTCTTATGTACTAGCTCAACCACAAAACCTTCCAGTCTAAGGATATAATGTACTGATTCAACCAAAAAATTCTCCAGTCTGAGGATTTGATATACTGACTCAACCAAAAATACACGAGCCTGAGGTTTTATGTACTAACTCAACCACAAAACCTTCCAGTCTAAGGATATAATGTACTGATTCAACCAAAAAATTCTCCAGTCTGAGGATTTGATATACTGACTTAACCAGAAACCCTTTGATCCGAGGATCTAATGTACTGACTTAACCACAAAAACCTGCAGTCTGAGGATTTAGTGTGTTAATTGAACTGGAACTGATAAAGAATACTTCCATACCTTATATTACTAGAGATAGCTAGTGGATTAACCGTTTAGCTTACTTCATTCAGCCTTGCTTTGTGTACAGAAGAACGCTTATTCAGTTCAAAGACCAGGAGAGATGAAAATAAAGTTAGCACACTCTCACACACACACATACAAAAATATATAAAAAAAATTGATACTTGTCTAGTGATCATCCCATGAACCTCAATATGGTAGTATCAACCTTGAAAACTATTTTACGCGAAATGCCATCAGTAATTGCGAAGTTTATTTTTGTGTTGAGTAACTTCGATTCGATAAGATGAACTAAATTCTAAACGACAAATAGCAAGGGAGTACAAAGTTTGTTTTTAGCGAATTATTTCACATTCAGCAAACAAACTATTTAATGTTTCGTATCTGCTCGTTTTGTAAATTTCCTGTATAAATTCTTTCCGATGAACTTTAACGATACAAGTCCATTCTTGATTAAAAATAGTCTTATTCTTTCTCGATACAACTTTGTGATACAGTACATTAAACTTAACTACTTTTATAACACACGCTATAAATCACAGTGATTCACACACTTTACTTACGGTGCCTACTGTTCGCCTGACTCAATTATCTATATATTCAATCTATCTCTCGCTGGCTTTATTTGCCGGGCTTATATTCTAAAAAAAAGAGGGCGTCTGGCAAACACTCGGGGTTCCTCGATAATTCATGATCCTTCGAGAAACTCCAGCGCGCATGCTCCTAGTGTCGCGTGACTTTCGCTATCGTAACATTACCATTCGGAAAAAGTTTGCTTTTGAATATCCTCGACTGCAAATAACAAAAGAATCCTTCAATAAAATTTCAGCTACAAGTTAAATGAAAAACAACGTAATATGAAATGAAAATCCATTAAGACGTTTCTTCTTACCGAATGTTTCTGCATTATTGTAGCAAATGTCACACATTTGGGTAAAGTGCAACGAATTTGTAATTTACTGTTATAAAGAGATTATTTTATATTTAGTAAACCATAATGACACATCAAAGTAAACTAATACAATATGTGATACTTTGTGCAACGATATTTTCGTCTATCAATTTATGTAATCACGATGCAGGTTAGGTTTAAACTATAGTTGCATACGATCAGAAGGCTCATAACTTTGTGCTCAGAAGTTGTTGATTAAATCTTCTGGACCATCTCTTCCTATTACATAATATTTGACGTACATGTTCAACGCACAGGGAATACATGGGGATGGAGGTAGATACGAATGTTCTTCCCCCTTATGTCATTAGCCGGGGGAGCATATTAGGCTTAGTGAAAATCGACCAAGCGATTCCCAGTTATAAGTGGACACACACAGAGGTTTCTATCAAATTATGATTTAGATGTGATACGTGAAAAAGAATGTACTTCGTGCTTGTAGAAAAGGGAAACACATCTTGTTGCTCGTAAAGACAAGCAATGGCTCACAGCTGTGATGATTATAAATTTATTCCCGAAACTAGTCGGTTTTAGGTAACTAATAAAGCTTTATATTTAATTGTACCAGAACTCATCACTTTATTTATTTATTTATCTACATGTAATGGGTCGTGTTGTAGTGGTGGGAAAATAGAGTTATTGGTTTTGTTCTATAGGAATTTTTCATTTATGACCAAGCAGGTAATTTTAAAATTCTATAAAACTGGTGAAACTTTATTTGGGGTAGTAAGTGCCATTCTAGCTCCCTACCTACAGAAATAATATCACCAGTTAGAAAGAACACAGAGACAATCTTCTAGAATGCTACTTGGGTTAAGCAAAGCCCTCAGAAACAGACTCTATAAATAAATCAAATACAGTTCAGTAGTATTTATTAACTACAGTATGAGCACTACTACACACACACATCATTCTATTTGCATCCTCTTTCTGGCTTTAGCAGCAGCAAAATCTTTAACTGTCGATCCGAAATTGATCATTCTCACCATGTCATTTTCATTCTAAAGCATTGCTAAGGCACACTTGTTTTTTGGTTATCAACATTTTACTGAATAATCTTTCGACACTATAGATAATCACCATTAAAGTTAGGTAGATCCAAACGGCAGTAGATGCGTTGAGAAAAGTTTCAGCTAATCCTCTTTTTCCAGAATTACCGAAGTTTTTGTTAAATGACCGAAAAAATATTTATAAGAGAACAAATTAATATGTTACCAGCCCCCTGGTGTTTGAATGGTAAATCTGAAGCTTATAATGCTATAAATCGGATTTCGATCCCCCGTGGGCAGAACACAGATAGCCCAAGGTGTAGTCCAGTGAAGTGTAACTGAGGTACTGTGTTTTTTTTTAAATTAGTAATTAAAAATATGACATAGACATATTTAAAACAGGTTAAGTGTGATACTTATATAGTGTGTATTATTCTGCTTTTTCATATTGTTATATTTGTTTAATATTACTTATGTATTCTTTATCAGAATAATATTAAAGTAATTGTTGCATTGTGCGATGAAAAAATAATAACATATTATGTCAAAAAGTCAGGCGTAAATATATTGCAAAGAGGTTGGAACAGCGCATGTTTGATTTATTTTATTTTTAGCGCCGTCTACAAATTATTCGTATAAGCAGTTCAACTTTCAAACATGACAGCTTCCACTGGTAAGTTGTGTTTTTTGAAAAGCGAAAGTCTTTGAAGATAAATATTTGTTTCAATTATCTTTTGTTAGGTTACTGATGTTTAATTAGACGAGAAGAAGAAGCGAGTTTCAGAAATCGTACAATATTTTATTTACAAGAAACTAGTAATTACATTTAACTTGGACGCTAAAATTAGTAAAAAAATTAATACAAATACTGAAATAAGTCGAAATTCGAGCCATGGATATTTTTTTAAGCTTATATGTTAAGAATAAGAGCCATTGTTACATTGAGAATGAGATCGAGTTGCTTGCCATGTAGAATACAATTAACTTTTCGTTGTTGTTTTTTTCATTTAGAATTGTACATTTTAATAAACAAAACATGTTTATCTCAACTTATTCATTGATTTTTTTATTAAAGTGTTATTTATAATTTACTGATTTTTGATTTCGTAATTTAAGTTTTCAACCATAGCTAATAATAATACTACTAATATCAATACAGATTAAAGTTTTTGTATGGTTCTGTTATTGTTAACTGCTGTTTGGTCATTTTATTGAATATGTGAGTTTATTATTTAATTATAAATAGGAAAGAAACGTTATTATATTGAACTTAAATTCAGCAGTACCTAGAAGTTAGAGTATTATCAACAGAAAATCAATAATTAATTTGACACGAAATAGTGTAAAATAAAAAGTCAGGTGTTTCATGTACAAATTAGTTAAAAATATTAGAAAATTTTCAGGCAACATAAAATGTTTGAGATATGTGGGGTAAAATAAATTTTTGAAACAGAAGAGTGTGTGACATGAGTACAAACATAATTAAAAAACCTACCATTCGACTTTTTTTCCCCTCTCCCTTTTCTGATCAATCAAGCTCTTACAAAATGTATGAAGGTTGAGTGGAATGACCCCTGGTGTTTTGTTTCATGTTTAATTGGTAACCTTCTTATTCCATTTGAAATTTTAAGGAAAATATCTAATTTGATTTGGTGGTCCTTTATTAAGCTGAGGTGTTTTCTGTTAAGAAAAGTTATAAAAAAGTTTTTCTGTTAGTCTACTGAATTATTTGTAACATTTAGGAATTTTTTAAATTTTTATTTTAAAAAAATGTAAATTGTTTTATTTTATTTTATTTTAATTATAAATTTTTTGGTAATATTCTACATTTTAATTTCCTTTACAAACGTTTTTGAATATGCTTATTTGCCAGGCAGTTATTTTTCTATTAAATTACAATAATTGGAAATAAAAGTTTTAATTTCCATAATAAAATAAAGTATGTTAAAACTGATTAAAAAAGCTATTAAAATATGCAAAATTTTCAGGTTTTTACATTTATTATGAGAGTATTGAATTTTTATTCAGATTTTGATATGAAATACTCAGTAGTTTAAAGTCACTTTAGAACGTGAAAGATTATAAGAATCATTAATCATAAAATGTTTATTTTAAATACATTCAATAACTTGATTATACCAGCACATTTGTGTATATATATAATTATGTTTTGATTTCCCGAATATGGCTGATAATGATGAAACTTACAAGTAACTAAATCAGTCAAAGGTTATGAAAGCTTCATGTCATTGTAGGGCAATAGGAAAAATATCTTAAAAACTAGGGAAAGTCATAAGGTCAGAGATTTTTTCTTACACAATTTACATTAATAATAACCCACCAACTGTTAAGTACAAAAGTTACATCTTATCCAGGATAGTAATAATAATAACATAAAACATCATGAGGTACATTCTTTTTATTCAATTTTTCTAATCACATGAATTGGATTTGTTTTGTAGGCATTTGAAACTCTTCGTTCACAAAGGTCATAAGTAGATTTTCAATAAATTATATTGTATAATATTGTAAACAAATATAAGACTAAGTACTCACTACTTGAAAACAAAAAATATATTTGGGTGAACAGTGTTTAAATTTGTATCGGGCCTGATTGATTTTATGTATCAGTTGGTGCATCGTGTTCTTGTTGTTAACATTGGCACGTAACTTCAGAAATAGAAGGGTTGAATAGTGTACGAGCAATTAATACGTGCAGCTGGCTCAAGGACTACATATGAATGATCACAATACATGGTGGACAGAAAAAGTGATGAACCAATTGTGTAGCCCTGAAGGATTGTGTTGATCCTAACATGTTAATGTTTGATACAGTGATTGACAGGGATACAAAATTGCTGAAATTTCTGAGTTGAATTAAATATTATCTGATGTTCTTGGCAGGAGTTAATATTTTATTTTAAAACTTTGAATTTAATCCAGTAGGAGTAGTTGTTCCTCGCAACTTCAGACTTTTAGAAGAGCTGGAAGAAGGTCAGAAGGGTGTTGGAGATGGAACAATAAGTTGGGGCCTAGAAGATGACACCGACATGTCTCTTACGCACTGGACTGGAATGATCATTGGTCCACCAAGAGTAAGTAATACATTCAAGGAGAATGTGACCATTTCTAGAGATAATATAATTACTTCATGGTGTAATTATCTACAAGTCCCATGTGCATATTTGCTGAAAAAGTTAAATAATAGAAAAACAGAAATGCTAACATGCTTGTCTGTATCAGTATTGTTTTTTGGAAGTAGACCAACGATATCCAAGTAGGAGGTGCAGTTTGGAAGTACTTCAGTACAACAGACTTAAACTAAGTTAGCTAAACTCGTGATGGGTTTAGTACTAGCCTAACTGAGGGTTTGATACCCTGTAGACCTTAACTACGAATTTGCTAGTTCTTTTCATTAAAATTTTAAAAACAACTTTGTGTGGTGATGTATTTTTCAGACACCATATGAAAATCGGCTTTACAGCTTAAAGTTAATCTGTGGATCCAGTTACCCTGAAGAACCACCTGTCTGTAGATTCCTCACCAAAATCAGGATGGCAGGTGTCAGTGATACGAATGGGTTGGTAAGTTTACAGTTCCAAAACAAAAAAAAAAGTCTCAGCAAGGTAGCATAACTTAATTACATAATGCCATCTGTTCAATGTCTTTAGAAGGTTGAATTTTGTTATTTGCACAGTAAGCTTTATACACTGCATCTACAGTGTATTAATTCATATTCAAGATATATTTTCAACCCTGTAAAAGTTTCTAATGTTTCCAATAAATGTACTCACATCTTACAAACTAGGTTAGGACATTGTTCAGTGTACACGTGCATATTATTTGACTTGGATTAGAATTGAAATACATACCATTTGAAGTTACACTTAGTTCTGTTATTACAGCCTAAAAATAAATAAAACAATGCTTTAGGTATGGTTATATCTAACACACTAAACCCATTTAACAAGGAATGGTAAATGACTGATCATTTGATTTTCATCCCTGTAAATATTAACACTAAAAATGACAGAGAGCTGAATTAGCTTTTGTGGACTTTTCCATTTTACAGAGAAGATTACAGACTTACAAAATTTGTAGTGCATACTGGAGGGATTTATACATTTTGATAAAAAGTTTAGAAAAAACGACCTTTATACTATATATATGTATAAAATATTTTTTTTATTTTAACCAACGTTTCATCTTTGCGACTTCATTAGGGTTAATATACTCAACTCTTTCAGTTGTTTATACTAACCCTAATGAAGCTGCAGAGGCAAAACGTTGGTTAAGATAAAAAAAAATTATTTTATATATATATATCTGTAGTATAAAGGTCGTTTTTTCTAAACTTTTTATCAGACTGTACAGACTTACAAACCATTAACAAAAACATTTTTATGGGATTTTGTCAATGTACTTTTCTGTACTTTTTTCTGTAGGTTGAAAAAAGAAAGTTACCTGTGCTAAATCAATGGCAAAAAACATATAGTATAAAGACTGTACTACAAGATCTTCGTAGAGCCATGACTTTAAGGGACAACCAGAGATTGTCTCAGCCACCAGAAGCGTCAACATTTTAGTGTGAATATAAAGAGTCATTATGTTATAGTTCAAATTAACGTACCTTCCTGTAAGTTTCCAATTCTTTGAGCTTTGAAGTAAAGTTTGCCTGTCATGTATTATGTAACAATGGCACCAAACTTCCAAGTCTTTCTGGATACAGTTGTTCATTTATCAGTTGCGGGTATCTGTTATTTAGACATTATAACTTAAGCATTCAGTATCGCGTCAAAGTTACAGCATAAAGAGAGGTATTTAACATAAGTATACATAGTTAATGTGAAATTATAACCATGTTGTTATAACTATTTTTACAAAATAACTTAGAAGCCAACGTGTATTGAACAGGAAAGGTCTTTTTTTTTTTGTCTTTATCATTTTCTTGCTGCTGTTTCAAAATGGTTTTAAATATTCTGGAACTACATGAAGCTTTAATATTTGTTGTTGAAATTTCTAAAGTGGAAAAGTTTTGTATTATAACATAATAAAGTGGATACATTTGCTTTAGGTGAACATGGGGGTCAAAGTAAATCTCCTATTAAAAGCTGGAGGAATTGGGGACTGAATTCAGTGTTATATTTTTTTTGTTAGTTTAAGGTTCTACGGTCGTTGATTCGACACTGTGTATTTGTTATAATAACTATTCCCACACTTATTGCTTGACTAGGAAAAAATATTTGGATAACTTGGAGAAAACTGACACCTCCAGATACTGACCATTAGTCTTTAACTTGGATACATGATAAGTATTAATATAATTTATCATATTTTTCACCCAAATGATTGTTATTGAACACTAATATTAATATTTCATTTATTTGGAAGACTTGCTGTGTAATTAATATAATATTTTGTGAAATAGCTATTTTTAGCAATTTACTATTTTTTTTCGCCTGGTATATTAAATAAATTGCTTAATTTTTTAAATAAATCAAATGTTTGGTACATATGATATC